GGGGGGGGGGGGGGGGGGGGGGGGGGGCGGTTTCATCGTGTCTGGCGCCAGACGACACAGAGCGTTCACCAGGTTCAGTGTGAAACAGTAAATATGTCGGATGGGGAGGTTTAGCAGACGTCCCCGGCTATTAAACTTTTTTTATTTAAAAAGCTCACATGACAAAATAGAGATGTGAAGTTTGAAAGAGTGAATTTAAGATTTAAGATGCAGCTGAGAAGTTTGGGAAACGTAGGATCCGGTAGTTTTGGAGCTTCGCCCTACAAGGAATTAACAGGAAGCAGATCTTGGTTTCTTTTGATTTAATATTTATAATTAAAATATAGATAATTATTATTGAGATGCAAGACTTTATCTGTGTATACACAACACAAGCAAAGTGCTGTGAGCATCACTAAATTCATATATTATATATCTTGGGGGGGATTTGGTCTTTAAGTACAGTAACTTTACTTATGCTGGTTTTTATCCTCCACATAAAAATCCCTCTGTTATACTGCACTGCTACTTTCTCTCCTTTATTTTCCCATAATATCGTCTTATGTTGTGTATTCTTGTTGTCGGGGTACTGACCTGGTGGGACGCCGGAGGAGATGGTGGAGGACGACAGCTGACCCTGGCCCTTGGACGTCATGCCGGCCACTTCGATGGTGTAGGTGGTGAGAGCGGTGAGCCCGGTCACCCTGTACTCTAAGGTGACATTGGGCAGGTAGTGGGTGACTCTGGTGTTGGTTCGGTTGAACTCCTCCCACGATATGCGATAACCTGCGGAGAGGTGACGCGTTAACACAGAGACAGAGGAAGCAAAAAAACCAACAGCGGTTTTACTCGTATAGCGTCTCTGGGCTCGCATGCTACAGGGCAAGCTAACAGGAATATTAAATAAACTTCATCAAAAATTGAATATAGCAAATTAAATCAGCCTGTGATTATACCTCCCTGCACACACATCCTCCCGCCCACTCCCGTCCACACACACACACACATCCTCACCCTCTCAAAGTAATGCAATTTGCTCCTTGGCCAGCAGCTCTTTCATGTGATTGCATAAGGCATTAGGCTGCACTTCTTGCCAAATCAATAATTTCACATGGCATGCCAGTGTTTGTCTCCTGGGAATTAGCAGCACATTAAAATGTTTTGGAGAAACACTTTTTTACAATATGCTGCTAAATCTCAGCCTCGGTAAACACTTGAATATTAATGTCACCAGTGAGCTTTTCTTTTCTCCCTTAACTCTTTAAGTTTGTACCCAATGAAGTAAGAACATTAAGGTGGAGAAGACGTAACACCGGCTCGCGAGGAAGATCACTAATGAGGACGTTTTGCATTTACATCCCCGGAATGGTGCGACAAAATATTTATGTGTGTGATTTTACTAATTTTAACAAAACTGGAATCACAAATATAATATATGCAACGATTTGATATTCAAGCATTAAGAAAGCTGCTTTATGGCACAAACTCAAATTTCAACCGAAAACAACAAGTGAGGAGTTTTATAAGAAGCAAAATCAAAACGTCTCTTTGTGCACAGTTCAAGTACACAACCATTACCGCTAGAAACAGATTTAATGGTCTCCCTGAGGAGGTTCGGATGACACTTCTTCCCGTACAATGATGTAAGGACGTCTTCTCCCTCGTTCTGCTAAGACTTGTTATGTTTTAAGAGAAGGAATCTTTTTTTTTGTCGTGCAGAACTCGGGGAAAAGGACACGGCTGCACAGCGACGACTGTATATCTGGTGTCTCATAAGCTCATGTGGCCTCATGTGGCTGCAGCTACATGACCCAAATAAACAGCAAATAATAAAAGAACTGTCCCACGTGAACCCACCTGCGGAGCTAACGCGCGGGGGTATCACTGAACGGGGTCAAGCAGGTGCTCAAAAAGCTAATTACAACAAATTCTTCCAGGCTCTGTTTCACCTTAGACCCGCCTCGTGTGATTGGTCTCTTTGGGAACCAACACCACCGTGCACAAACCGCTATGGCTGACGGCTGCAGCCAGACACTGTGAAAGTGACCTGAAACCCTGAGCGCTGGTTTATTAATACTGAAGGTAGTCAGCGTCCGAGGCTGCGCTCCCTCTGGCCCTTAACTGCTCACACGTGTCGAGTTTGAATATGATGAACAGTTGTCAAGATTCTAGAGTTACCTGTGAGAACTCCATTCTTCTCCACGGGCACGCTCCAGCTGACTTTGAGCGACGTGTCCAGGATCTCGGTGAAACTCAGGTGACCGACGGCGCCGGGAGCTGAACACGGGACAGAGAAGAATAATGAGTGAGGCCAACGGGCGAAACGATCGAGCTGGAGCTCGTTGCTGATCAGCGGACTTGGCCACAAACCGGAGACAGAATTTGCATTTCAAATGTGTTTACAGACAAAACCGGCAAAACAAAGTCACTGCTGAAAACTGCCTGATGACAAGTTGAGGAAAATTAAGAGTTTTTAAAGCCTAACTAATAAAGTCTAAGGGACTTAATTCCCAATTACAACGATCCTGTCTGGATGCAGAATAGACTCATTCATTAGCACTTCTCTATAATTTTGTTCTGCATGAATAATAGATCTCGCCCGAAGGATGTGTTACTGAGAGACGCTCGTGTCCCTTCGCCGCCACGGGGGAGAGAACATTGTGGAAGGAGAAGTCACTTACTGTCCTCGTGTGTCCTCGAGGCTTTGGGCGGGCTGCGGGGGCCGTCGCCGGGTGTGGTGAAGCACAGCGCCGAGGTGTAATACTCGGTGAACTTCTTCAGACCTGTCACGTACCCCACGTGGACGCTGTCCTGGAAGTTGGGTCGCACTGTTACCATAGAAACCTGCTCGTCTCTGCCGGGCTCCCATGCCAGCAGCTAAACCAGACAAACGAAAAAAGGACAAACGCGTGAAAAGGCAAATTACCCAGTCAGTCAGAAGTAGAGCAGCTAATCGTTTTTATTTTTTCTGTAATGATTCTCACACATTTATTCTCGCAGTACTAATAGTTGTGTCTCCCTCCGGTCATCCAGAGTCTCTGAGGAGTTATTTGGCGTCGCAGTTTTCAGATTTATTAAGGAAGGTGCCCCGAAGACGTTTTGACTTGGAGGAAATGGCTGCGAGAGGAAGGGAGCGTCACGGCTCGAGAGAGGGATGATGGCGTCCTACTATGCATGTTGATTGCGGAGCGCACAACAAATACAAATGGGACCTGGATCGACCAATTAGGTGCTTAGGTAATTAGTCCCCGTGGCATTTTTTTTTCTATTGGGTTGGTTTCCAGGTTTCCGGAGGAGAGAGGGAGCTTCCAGAGAGGTAAAGAGCTGGTGAGAGGATGTCAGAGAGATAGATGTTTGACTCTCTGCCACACTCTCGCTCTCTTTCACTCTTTTTATTCTCCATTAAATCCTTCCTTTGCCTTAGTTTCGATCACCTTTCACTTTCTCCATTCCTTCTTTTTCCTCACAGCCGCTTAATTCTCTCCCTGGAGGAAAAGGTGGTATTTAAAATTCAGATTTGGTTTGCTCAGTGACCCCCCCCCCCCTCTGCTGAGTAAGGCCTGTGGAGCGCCATTGAACACACAGACAAAAAAGAGAGACGGGAAAACAAACCCCAATGATATAATTAAGTCTCAGTAGAGTCGGTGGGAAAATAGAACCACCCTATGGATGTTGGCTTTATGATTCCACGCTGGCTACATTTGTTTCGGTGAAGTGTACACAAGAGACAGCGAGATGGACCACGTTCAAGAGCCCGTGACAAAATAATGAAGACATTCATCATTACTCGAACACGACTTCACAATAAAACATGTGAAAAATGGCTGCGACGATAAAGAGAATGACCTCCGACTGACAAATGGAAGAACGGCGTCCATCGTTCACAATGGCACCAAATATCTTTCGCCCCTCGGCTCTTCTCCGCCTCTCGCTACGACGCGATGTGTGATTTCGACAAGTTCGGCTCTGACAGTTCCGTCAATGGAAGTGATGACTGCTGACCTTGTAGCCCTGGTTGATGCCGTTGATGAACTGGGGGTTCGGGGCCGTCCACGTGAAACGGATGGTCGTCGAGTTGACCGGCTCGGCCTGCACGTTACCGGGGGCGATGGTGGGCACTGGGATGGACAGAGAATAAAAAAGAAGAAGAAAAGAAACAGGTGTGAGCGACCGGGAGAAGTCTGCCGGCATCTGTTTTGATGTCGGTATCGATCGCTGCTGCACAGGTCAGAGCAGATGCTGCCATCACTCTCTTTGTGATGACACCTACACCTGATGCCAGCGAGTCCGTGCAGGGCTGCGTGAGCGGCGTATGGATCTGAGGAGGGGGTGACACCTTTGTGTGGCCCTTACAAAGACAAGTTAAAAGGTAACGCGGTAGACAGGCGGCTCTTAGCAGAAGATTTCAGCCAAAGGTGCATAAAGCCGGAGGCTGACGAGAAGGGTTTTGTTGGTACATTGCTGATTACACAAAAAATTACCATAAAAGAAGTTTTATGTTATATGGGTCAAGAATTTTTTCATTCCTTTAACATTGCGCGCTTGACATTTTCACAGATTTCCCCGGGAATAATAAATGAATCTAGATGAAAGAATCCAGGCACATTTATGGAACTCATGTCTAAGTGTGTGCAGCTTGATTGAATTTAAGTGGACTATAGGACCTTAGGGGAGGAATGTGCTTCAGAGCCATTCTAGCTGAGTATTTCCTGGTGTATAACTCCAACGCATATAAATACAGACTTAGAATATATAAATGAATATCAGCTGATGCTTGATCAATTACACTCACCGCCCTGCAGGGTCCACTCGGTGACCTTGTGGCTGAAAATGCCCAAACCCGCCCCGTTGTAGGCGGCCACCTCGATCTCATAGTTAGTCCAGATGATGAGGTCCTCCAGCAGCAGGTTGGTCACATCTGGGCTGGTGATGTTTTTGATCTGGTAGTCCACGGGCAGCCCGGTGAGACGGTACCTGAAACACGACAGCACACAAACCTGTTGAGGAGGAGGGTGGCTTAACTGACGTGCAGTACCCTACATCTCCTGCTGGGGGGAGACAAAGCATCAGCAAAAGAAAAAGCAATTAAAACCCCGACAGCAGCAACTGTTGTCTGGAGAACACCTGCTGTTTCATTTGGATGGAATAAATAAATAAAGGACTCACAGAAAACCAAACTAATTACATGTTTACATGATTTACAGTCAGTCTGGCATATTGCTGACTCCCTCTATCGGAGTCAATAAAGTTTTTGAAGTCAAACCAGTCATTAAAAATTTTAGTTTTCTGTCAAACTAAATTATTTTTATTTGCAGCAGTGTTAAGTGACACTGTCGGGGTTCTGCAGTGAAACACAATGAGTTTGATTTAAAGATAATTAACTAGGATTCTGGTGTAGTGTGTGTGTGTGTGTGTGTGTGTGTGTGTGTGTTTAGATGCTAATGTTGTTGTTTTTTGTCATCTGGGTCATAAATGAAAAATAAAACCAACCCATCAATCACGAACGTGGACGATTAACAGATTTTCTATTTGTAAAGACTAGAACACCTCCGCTTGATTCACGATGAGCAAAACTGATAAAAGCGTAAACATGTAACTTGAACATGAAAATAAAAAAAAAACTAAAAGGAGTGGACGTGTCACAGGGATCTCACCGGACGGTGTATCCTCTGAGGATGCCGTTCTGGTGGCTCTCTGGTGGAGGCTGCCACTGGATCATGATGGACTGGTTGGTCCGACCACTGGCGATGACATTCTGAGGAGGAGCACTGGGGGACTCCTCTGGCAGAGCAACACTGCAACACACACACACACACACACACACACATAAACACACACATTTTCTTTCCGCTCAAATGAAGCGTATAAATTTAAACATCTGGATAATTTCAGGTAAAAGACTTCATACAGCTCCTCTTGGTTTTCTCATCTCACATGTTTCTAATGCTGCTTTCACACAAACTCTGTGAAGTTCTCCTGAGGGGCTTAATGTGAGAATGCAAATGTCCAAGCTCCAGACATTTTCTTGAACCTGTCCAGCCGGCGCACCGAATAAAATGTCTAAGTGAGAATACAGCAGGAAGGACTGTCAACCTGGAAGGACTAATTCACACCTCACGTCAGACCCTCCTGCTGCTCTACCCCCCCCCCCCCCCCCCCCCCCCCCACACACCTCCCGGATGTACCTGACATCATTCTGTTGTTGTGAGCGCATCTGAACCACACAACCTCCCGCTGCGTTCTTCGTATGTGAACTCCAGGAAAGGTCTGGAATATGAATATGCTTAATGCTCAGGCGGGAACGTCGCTCATGGCTTTTCTGTATAAAAAAAAACGAGCCTGTGTGTGTGTGTGTGTGTGAAAAGTGTGTTTACATGCGACTGCGTGTGTTTGTGTGTGTATCCGCTTTGGAGGGCTTACATGCATATCCCTCTTCACTGACTCTAGACTGAAGGGATCAGTCAAACCGGCTGTCTAGGAAACGGATTTCATGAACACAATAAAACGACTGCGAGGTTGATTTCCAGGTGAATCTTTTTTTCCCCGTCTGCTTTCTCCTGGGAAACAACGAGCTCATGAATCGAGGAACGTTTCGGTGAATCAGAAACCAAAAGACTGGATGAAAAGCTGAGGGAGAATTCTCCGGGCTCGCTGTGCGATATCTGTCTTTTAGCTCACCGCTCTGTCTCCTTGCTGAACTGCCCCTTCCCCACATCATTAACAGCGCAGAGGCGGAACTGATAGGAGCGTGCGGGGATCAAACCATTGACCGTCACCGCCATGGACTCTGGCTCGATATTGGCCAGCAGGATGGCCCAGGGAGCATCTGGGTGGAAAAAAAAAAAAAGAAAATTAAATTTTACACCTTGTTCTACATGCGCACGGATATTGTTCATCGCTATGCTAACGATTCACCTCAACGTCACTTAAAATGTTCTGATAAAAGGGATTTTCACTTTCATGTCTGCAATCATTTATCTTGGAAGGTCACATTTTAAATTATAAATTCATTAAAAATACTCTGAGAATGAAAAGAAGTCAAAGAACGAGGTGCTGCATGTTGAACGTTCTCTACATGTGGAGCCGTACAGGGATTTATGATGATGGACATTCTGAATTAGTCTCATCACCTCCATCAGCGAGGTCATGTCTTCACCCCTGTCTGCATGTGAGCAGGATTAAACCAAACTAACTGAATGTAAAGATCATAATTAACAAGATTAAAGAATAAATGGTGCTGATGAGCCAAACCAGTCTCGTGTTGTCCCAACTTTATTCTCGAAATCTCAGTTTTATCTTTCCTGATATTCAGGCCTGATACTACCATAGCTCCCTGTTTTATTCTAAATATCTTGAGGGTGTGTAAACAGGACGCACCACATGGCTGCATGACTGGAAGAAAGACTTACTGTTCTCAGAAACCTCCAGGATGTAGCGTATGAGGGGACTGTTGCCATCAAAAGGTTTGGCCCAGGCCAGGTCGATGGCTCTTTTCTCAGACTTGCTCAGCAGAGCCGTGGGGTTCTCTGGGGCATGGGGCAGCTGCCTGCAGGGAACAGTATGACAACTCCGATAAATAACATAATCTCCTCTTTCGCAGCGAAATCCTCCGCCGGGCCGCAGAGTTCCAGGACGTTTTGTTCTTCTCCCTGAACATCCCATGCATGAATCTGAAGTAAAGCTTAATGTTTCATAACGGAGGGATCGGTTGGATAGGTGACGGAAATGCGGCGAGACAAGACGGCCAAGATGGACACGCGGGCAAACAAAACGAGCCGGATGTCGCCACAGGGAGGAAACGGATTGAAAGGAGACGGAGGAAAATACACAGAGACGTGAACGAATGAGGCCGAAGCCGGGGATAGTTAATTCATTCGGCCATAAATTCAGATAAGCAATAGACAGATTGATAGATAAACTTTATAGCGACGAACGAATACAGACATTCACAAGGCAGGCGGCCAACAAGACAACCGATATACAAAGACAATCAGTCAGTCAAACAGAGAGTTAGTCTCATTCATATTACATTCACTCTTTGCTGCAGTGACTCATTGTGTGCACAAGAGCAACAGTCGCAGGGAAAGTTTTGGAGAAAGAGAGGATTTGAGATGACAAAAAAATACAGAAGTGTTTGTATGAGCACAAGTACACACTTGTGCTCATACAAACACTTCTGTCTGTCTGTCTGTGTGTGTGTGTCTGTCTGTGTGTGTGTGTGTGTGTCTGTGTGTGTGGGAGATGGTCCCTCTGGGCTGGAAGTGTGTTGGGTGAGAATGAGGACAGTGGAGGTGACGAGAAACAGGCATCATTTAAGTGGAAATGAGTCAGAGGTGTCAATAAGAACAAGCAGTGAAAGGCTGGTGGTGGCGAATTGTGTTTGTGTCTGACTCCTCGCTCGTGTCTGTGTGTGTGTGTGTACGTGTCTGTGTGTGTGTGCGTACACGCTGTCAAGCTCCAGAGAACATGTTGCTGCTTGTGTCTTTGCACCGGAGGATATCGGGGGAACAAGAGTGTGAGGAGAGAGCGATGAGAGTGAGGGGGGGTGTACCTGACGCGGAGGTGAGCGCTCCGGGAGTCGTTGCCGCCGACGGAGGTGACTCTGCACGTGTATGTGCCGATGTCACCTGACCAGGTCTGGGAGATGTGGAGGGTGCCGTCTGCCTCCAGACGCATGCGAGGGATGGACTGGACGTTGATGACCACGCCCTCTTTGTCCCAGATGTGCCTGGAACACAAAGTTATCAGTCAGCTGAGATGTTGATGGTATCATCATCATCATCATCTTCATCATCATCACCCTCATCTTCATTCTTTCAACAGAACCAGTCGATACCTGCACCCATTGGATGGTACCGGCCGTCAATCACACGATATCCACAGAAACTGAGACTCGTCGGGGAAAATGTTTACTGACGTTTTAAATCAAGTGAGAAGTAGAATCATTTTCTCAGAGAGTTTGAGTGCAAACTTTGGCTTTGGCTCTGAAGGCTTCATCTGAAAAATCCCTATCAATATAATTTCTTGCCATAATTTCCATTTTCCTAATTTCTACCAGAGTGGAGAGGAAACGTCACGGTCAATTGGTATAATGAACAAAAACGTGAAAAGACAACTCAGGAGGATAAATACAGATTTCTTGTCAGAATAAAAACAACAAAACGAGCTTCAGATGATTCCTCATCACAAAGTCAACTGAAAAACACGAAGCAATGCAAACAGACTGAGATTTGCTCCGGGCAGCATGAAATGAGGATTTGCACAAACTTCACCAGAATATAATTTGTCCCGAAGCCTGAAAGTAACTTTAACC